GGGCCCAGGCTGGGGATTCGAACCCGCCACCTTAGGTGTATGTGGCTGGTGCCTTAGCCGCTTGAGCCACAGGCGCCGAGCCATACATTTCTTATTATTTAGTGGCCCCTTATGTCTAACAATGCTTTATTTATTTATTTATTTTTGAAGACAGAGTCTCAAGTCTCAAGCTGTGGCCCTGGGTAGAGTGCTGTAGTGCCACAGCTCATAGCAACCTCCAATTCTTGGGCTTAAGGGATTCTCTTGCCTCAGCCTCCCATGTAGCTGGGACTACATGCGCCTGCCACAATACCCAGCTATTTTTTGATTGTAGTTGTCACTGTTGTTTGGTGGGCCTGGGCTGGATTCAAACCCAACAGCTCTGGTGTATGTGGCTGGCGCTCTAGCTGCTTGAGCTGCAGACACCAAGCCTAATGATGCTTTTGGTCTTATTTTCTGTTCACATTTGCATGGTTATGTTCTGGTCATCGTTTCGTTTTATTTTCAATATTTTTGAGTAATTTTTTAGATGGATTTCTTTAATATGATCGTAAATTTGGGATATTTTTAATCCAGAGTAAAGGCATTTTTCTTTTAATAGGTAAGCTTATATCATATGTATGTATATAGCTTTTTAATAAGAGACAGAGTCTCATTATGTTGTCCAGGCTTTAGTGCAGGGGTTATTCACATGTGTAATCCCACTATTGATCAGCAGGGGTGTTCTGACTTGCTCCAGTTTCTGACTTGGGTTGGTTCACCCCACTTTAGGAAACCTAGTGGTCCCTTGCTCCCAAGAGGTTATATTGATGCCAAACTTAGTGCAGATACCTAATGATCATAGCACACTACAGACCAGAACTCCAGGCTCAAGTGCTCCTCCCACTTCAGCCTCCAGAGTTAATGGGACTCTAGGTACGTGGCCCTGACTAATTTGTATTTATTGGCAAAAGAAATGTGTTTTGGTCTTAAGTTTGTTACATTTAGTTTATCTTTTGATATAAGGTCTGTTTTCTTTGGTCTGTGTTTCATGCTTTCACTCTGATAACTTGAAAGGTTTATGTGTGGTTTTAGATCTTGTAGTGTTTACATTTATAATCTTAAGTGATACCCTCAAGCCTCTATTTCTTGATTTGTCAGCTTCAGGCAGACTCTCCACTATGAAACTGAAGAAGTTAGTACTTAGACTTTCTGTTTTTACTTTTCCCACATCCAATTTTTTTTTGTTAGTTCTATTAAATTCATAAGTCAATTCAAGAATTCTAACTCTACACTTGCCTAGCCTTGATTATTCTATTTAAAGAGATGTAAGGTGGTGATGAATTTGTCTTGTGTCAATTTAGCTAAGATGGTACTATGTTTCCCAGAATTGTTTCCCTACATAGCAATATACTTTAGTGATTTTGTTTCTCTAATTGAATTCTGACAGAGCTAGAGTTCACCACCCATTTTCACTACCATCTCTTTTCCATTTCTGAATTCTTTCAAGTTATCTCTTAGTTAATTCTTCGTGTTATCCCTTGATTTGATACTAATTTCAGTTGACAGATATTCTTCATAGTGTATGGTTTCAGGTTGTGGCCATTTCTTAGCATCAGTAAAAATGATGTTTTCCTTAAGAAAATTTTAATAATTTAGTTTGTAGTTCCTTTTAAAGAAGTAACTGGAATGTAAACTTATTATACACTTTTGAGGATGTCTTATAAACTGAATTTATTAACCAAAAGATACGATATTGTCACTTGTGATGTACTTTCCATAAAAACACTAACCATAGAAAAACCAAAACCCAAACCACAGATGAACATTAAAAAAAAAAAAAATTCAAGTCTGTTACCTGCACAAAATATCCTTAGCTGCTGGACTGGTGATATAAGTTGCAAATGAGTGGTGAACAGATCAACAAATGCTCCAGGATAAATAATGAAGAGAAAAATCCCAAAGCCATTAAATCGAACTTGCTCCCTAAGAAATCACATAAGAAAAAGGAATTTACTAATACCATTGTATTTGTCAAATTAATAATGTATGTAATCTTAAAATTTCTCACTGTAATTCAAATTCTTGCTTTAAAAAGTCTCTGTAGACAGCCAAAAATTTTATCTATACTATGTATAGATAATCATAATTTTATAATAATGCATGGATTTCGTTATTTGTGAAACTGAATTTTGTAAAACAGGGTATTCTGAAATAGTCTCATAACTTCAAAATTTTCAGAAACCGATATGCTGAGCAAATAATTAATATGAGTCACATATATAAAAAAGTTAATACTATGAGAAACTAAATGAAACAGATTTTTATGGTTTACTTTGAATTATTTTCAGGTAACACAGGAAAATATATAATTCAAATAAATTATCTGAACACACACACACATACATATATACATATATATATATTTTTTTTTTTTTTTGAGACAGAGTCTCAAGCTGTTACCCTGGGTAGAGTGCCATGGTGTTATCAAAGCTCACAGCAACCTCCAAGTCTTGGGCTCAAGCAATCTGCTTACTTCAGTTTTTCTATTTTTAGTAGAGAAGGGGTCTTGCTCTTGCTTAGGCTGGTCTCGAACTCCTAAGCTCAAGCAATCCACCCATCTTGGCCTTCCAGAGTGCTAGGATTATAGGCATGAACCACCACATTTGTCATAGCAATTATAAATAATGATAGAGATTTATTTAAGTGTATTCTTATTGTGCTAATGTTAAAATAAATACATTTAAAAATGTATAATGCTCTGGGTGGCACCTGTGGCTCAGTGAGTAGGGCGCCGGCCCCATATACCCAGGGTGGTAGGTTCAAACCTGGCCCCGGCCAAACTGCAACAGAAAAATAGCCAGACATTGTGGTGGATGCCTGTAGTCCTAGCTACTTGGGAGGCTGAGGCAAGAGAATTGCCTAAGCCCCAAAGCTAGAGGTTGCTATGAACTGTAATGTCATGGCACTCTACCGAGGGGGACAAAGTAAGACTCTTTTTCTAAAAAAAAATATATATATAATGTTCAAATTGTCCTTCAGAGAACTATTTTTTATCACTTCATTTTCTAAAAATGTACATTTAATAATCTCATAAGACCAAATAGCTACTCTTAAAAAAAAAAGCATCATAGGTGGCGCCTGTGGCTTATTGAGTAGGGCGCTGGCCCCATATACCAAGGGCGGTGGGTTCAAACCTGGCCCCGGCCAAACTTCAACAAAAAAATAGCCAGGCGTTGTGGCGGGCCTGTAGTCCCAGCTACTCGGAGGCTGAGGCAGGAGAATTGCCTATGCCCAGGAACTGGAGAATGCTGTGAGCCTGTGAGCTGTGATGCCACAACACTCTACCAAGGGCAATAAAGTTTTTTGTCTCTTAAAAAAAAAAAAGCATCACCTAAACATATTTTGTACTGTTATTCAATACTAGATATATAAGACAATGGTACAATTTACTTTTTCATGGCAGTTGGGATTTTAAAAACAATTACCCACTATTTTGCAAACATATTTTAAATTATTAAGCTGTTAATAATGATGTCTCTATATGTACAACCCTAAAGGCTGAAAAGTTAAAAATGTGGACGCAAAGATGAAAGATATTTCAAAAAAGTAGCTGCCCCTTTAAACTACTAGTGTGCACACCTGTTTAACAGTATATGGTCAGTCAAGACGAGGGTTTATTGCCAGTCAATAGACTCTTGTTCATAAGCAACTGAAAAGTAATAAGAAGCGATTAAATCTTCACTAAAACAGTGGTTCTTAACCTTTTCTCTGGTCCACAAACCCAAAGGATAAAACACATTCCCATCAGCATGCTTGCTGATTATGGCGGTAAATTATCAGTGGGAATAGCAGGGGAGTTGCAATGCGTCCCCTCCCTATCACGATTTTATAAGTTAGGTGGGCTTTTAAATGCTCGGGTATAATTACAAAGATGAATTTGGGTAGTCAAGGCCAAGAAGAGGACATGATACTCAAAGCAGGTCCCAAGTCTCATTCTCTTCTTATCTTACACTTGGGTTTCTAAATAGCCTATGATAGTTGTTAAATCCAAAGCTTTCCATGTTCTTGCTCTAGCCAGCAGAGGACATGAGCAGAAGCAGGAAATTATTTCAGCTGATAAAGTTAAGAAAGTACTAAGGTGAGAGGGTTTGGGGTACAGTGGTTATCATTCTGACCCAATGATGAATGGAAAGATTAGCTTTCAGAATTGGATGAGAAAACTTGAAGCACCATTAGGGTCTAACCACGCAGGGAAAGGATAGAAAAATGCAGATTACAGATATACATGTTGTTAATTAAGCATATTCATTAACATGTTATTTTCTCTATAAAAGAGAAGCTACTTCAAAGTAATAAATGATGGGCTATGCACTGGGCAGTATCCACAGAAAGAAAAATAGTTTAAGTATAAAATGTAGTATCAGATATAGCAGGTTTCAGTAATAAATTCCTAAATGAAAAGCTTCTTTGTACTTAGTATAAAGAATAAGATAAATATTGTTACCTAATAGCTGCTATCCCATGTCCAATTTCATGTACAACACCACTAATGAGAACTGCAGCGAAGAAATAGGTCAGTTGATTGACGGGTAAATTTATACCAGGAACCTGTTCATAGACACAATATAGCAGTAATTATCAGTGAGGGTGCAGGGGAGCCCCAGTTGGGCACCAAGATATATGATGTTCACTCTGTAAACTTGTTCGTTTCTATCAGAATAAAAAGCAAAAACTCTAGTTTTTCAAACTAGGCACTTAGTCTGGAACAAGTACACCACCAATCTAAAGAAAAACAGGAAATACTGCCCATTAGAAAGTTGAATATTTAGCTTTCTGAAGCCATCGCCAAAGGAAAGAACGAGGGAGTCCAGCAACGTCCCAGGGAATGCAGAGTGACAGTGAAAGAGGCAGCAGTTGATCCATCCTCAAAGGCTGGATGCCTAATTTGGAATTCTTGTTAAAATGTTTAGTCCTTCTCACGAATTGGTATTGCAAGGTCCAAGTACTTATACTAATTAATAGGGACCACCTCCCCTAATCAGGGAGTTTCATTTTAATATTCTCAAGTACAGGAGAGTTGGTTAACTAGTGTAATAAAGTGCCTGATTGATGTGGGAATGTAATATTCTTCACTCCGTCTATTCCATAAGTTTTTCCATTACATTGGTCAGAAAAATAGTATCAAAGAGATATATGAATATTATATTAAAATTGAAATTTAATGAAGAAATTAAGGCATTTGGAACAGACATGTTATGAACATATGAATGCATGTATATATCACTGCATACATACACAGTTTACTATGGTAAGAACAGAATAGCAAATTTTTTTAGATAGCCAAGCATCTTCTCTTATGATAAACACTCCCAAGTTATGGGTTTTTTTGTTGTTGTTATTGTTTAGACAGAGTGGTCTAACTGTCACCCCAGTTAGAGTGAAGTGGCATTACAGCTCACTGCAACCTCAAACTCCTGTGCTCAAACAATCCTCCTGCCTCAGTCTCCTGAGTAGCTAAGATTATAGGCATGCACCCCTACATCCAGCTAATTTTTCTATTTTTAGTTGAGATAGGGTTTTGCTCTTGCTTAGGCTGATCTCAAACTCTTGAGCTCAAGCAATCCTTCCTCCTCATCCTCCTAGACTGCTAGGATTGCAGGCATGAGCCACCACATCTGGCCTCCTTTTATTAATTGTTATTTTATATTCATTATGAAATATGTTGAAAGCAGAAAAATTGGAAAACTTAAAGGAAAATAGAAGCACATAAATCCTGTTCCCTAACCCCCAGACAACATTCTCAGTGTTTTGACATGTTGTCCTTCTGGTCTTTTCATGTACATGTATTTTTAAAAACTACACTTTCAGGGCTCGGCGCCTGTGGCTCAAGTGGCTAAGGCGCCAGCCACATACACCTAAGGTGGTGGGTTCGAATCCAGCCCCGGCCTGCCAAATAACAATAATGGCTGCAACCAAAAAATAGCTGGGCGTTGTGGTGAGTGCCTGTGGTCCCAGCTACTTGGGAGGCTGAGGCAGGAGACTTGCTTGAGCCCAGGAGTTGGAGGTTGCTATGAGCAGTGAAGCCATGGCACTCTACCCAGGGGGATAGCTTGAGGCTCTGTCTCAAAAAAAAACAAAAAACAAAATACCAAGGGATGTTTCT